TATGTAGCGTTGTATTCTGACACGCTGTAATGAATGTTCATATTACGGTTTTTATGATCGCTCTGGAATACAAACTGTAATGTTCTGCTTGATAATTGTATTCCAAGACCAGCCCCGTTGTAGGTACCAGCCAGACCGTAAGTATACTTCGATCTATCCATCATCAACTCCATTATCGAATTACACATGTAGGTTGTTACATTATATTTCGTCGTCAGTACAATAACTATGTACTTGGTGTTTTTCTTGTCCTAGTTATTGCATTATATCTCAGTCCTGATAATCCAAGCTCTCGGACACGAAGTGGTTTACTCGACGAGCAAACGGGCTTCTCACCTCTCATGTCTGCTACTTGCTTCTGTCTTATTATTGAAGTGATTGACTAACAATCTAATTTTCTCATACCTCTCATACCTCATCTCTCAAATGAACCTCCATCAATCCCCTTCTCCACTATGAAACTCATCTTGTCCCACCATCATCATACCAGCATTACCATGCCATCTACGCAATTAACCCAAGTGCCACAATCGGTACATACAACCAAATCCAAGCATAGCCCTTCCTACTAACTAAGCTATTACTGAACCAGGTCCTAGATCTCAGTGGAGATCTAGAAGAACTGGTATACACCAAAGCAGCAATTGGAATCTACGACCGAACCATGCTGGCAATCGTCAACCCGACAACAACACCGATGGAGCTCAATCTCCACCACGGGTCCTGGCTACAGGCCAAGTCGAAAGTGGCATCGCTCCACCGGAGCATCGTGGCGGATTTCAATCGGCTGCCGCGTCAAATGAAACGTACTTTCGTGAGGGCCAATCGCTTGACTTTGTCGGAGCATGGGTTTCGGCCATCTGCAGATAACTTGGAGATCACCCGTCCTGGTAGTAGGAGGGCTATCGCTTTGCTTTAAAATGGGGAGCTGGGTTACATACTAGCATTGGCATGTTGGTGGAAAGAGGATTGGCTGTCAATTGTTGCTAACTGGAATGTTGTGCTAGAGATTCATCAGCTTGCACCTCTATTCCTGCCCCTTTCTAATGCTCCATTTTGACTCCATACACCAAAACATTTGGTATGGACCTCAGCTGCTACACCATTCATCGCCATCCCATACTCAGTTAGCAACGTTAGATGATTCCACACTCAACAACATACTATTTCCCATTTCAGCGCACAAGAATGCTACTAGGGCAAGTTGTTCTGCTATAGAGATTGTGCTCTGGCTCTATGTCTATGGAGGGAGGTGATAGCTGTCCATATCTCTTTTGATTTGCGTTGGGATGCTCGAATGCTTTCACTGCTGATGGATGGCTCAAAGATGCATTCAAAAGCAAATTGATACTCAGAATTAAGATTTCACAAACACATTGCAGCGGTTCCTGTACTATGTAGGTTCTTTTGATTCACCTATCAATGTATTGTAATCCTGTACAAATTATCTACGCGAAAAGTGTGATGTAGCAATAGTGAGGAAATTGACTGGTAGAGCAATGGTTGATGGCCATATTTCTGCTGTAGTGAGGATGACCGTTCAAATCTGTCGAGATGCTCGTGTATGAAAGGGATGGTGGACTGAAAAGACAATTCACTATGTAAGGCTAACATCTATCTACAGGAACTACTGTCTTCTTCTAACAGAGCAGACCCAAAAAGGGATAATGGATAAAACACTCAGTTGATGACATGGCCAAGTAACACACTATAAATCAAAGCAGTGATGATCAGATCTAGCATTGATGAATTTACAAGAATAACATGATAGCGTTTCAGTCGTAACGGTGTGAGTCTCAGATAGTGACAACTCAATCTATGGTCCGGACAAGATTCCATGCAACATCTTACGCGCTCAGTTCCGAGACGGCAGCATATATGAGTTCCTGACATAAGATATCTTTTTGAAAGAGCACCCAACCCAATCCTCAAATCAGAGCACAGCAATACTATCAACAAGCGTGTTTACGAGTCCACTCCCGCGCAATCTCCTCATAGCGTGACCGGTCGTTTTTGTATTGCTCCGCGATCCGCCCCTCGACAGCGTCGTCAGGCATCGGCTCAGATAGTAGCTGCCGGGCGAATTGAAGAACTGCGGCGATCTTCGAGCTGGGTTTCCATTCGTCGGCTCGGAGCATGCCTAGGCACATGCTTCCTTTTTCGTCGTTTGTTACGTTCGGGTGGTATATTCTCGTTGCGAAGGAGACAGTCGGCGGCTTGAAGGGGTATTCCGTGGGTAGGGAGAGCTTGACTAGGAATTTGCCATTCTGTATTGTTTGCCGAGAGGTTAGAAACACTGTTTATTGGACATGAACTGTGAGGTTCGAGTTCGGGGACTCTTAATGGAGACCTTGGAGATGATGGGGGTAAATGGGGCTAGACTATGGTTTGACTTACCTGATATGGTGAGCCTTCAGGCCCTTCCATGATGACCTTCCACTCGTACACGTTCGACTCATCGGCCAGTTCAACCCTGATCCCTTCCGGGGGGGATTCGGTGAGCTCAGTCAGCTCCTATGAAGGTAGTCAGCACACTGGTAGATGAGATGATCATGTGGAAATATAGGTACTTGCCTTGGATATGCGCTTGACGCTGCCCATTATGGTGTTCGGTTGTGGATTTGGCGGGGTGATAAACAGGAGCGGGGAGGTTGAAGAATGCAGGGAAACGCCTAAGCGCAAGACGCGTTTAAATGTTGAAGCAACAAATAAATAGAGATCTACTAAATAATATGGAAAAGATGCTATGTGCAAAAAGATGCTTAAAGGACAAAGGGGGATTTTACGGTGAAGCTAGAAGCTCCAAGTGGGGTGCGCGGCAAAAGACGTCAGTGGAGAAGTTTGATATGTCGGCCGCTCTATCGATGTCCAGAATAGTAAACACTATAATTGAACACCCATTGTCTATTGATAACTCCCTGCCGTAACATTTGATGCATTTGATTACATTCTTGGCATTATCCAATGTATATTTTCGCCCATTACTCTCTCTGAATCATCACCATCAGTCCCATTAGTCCCAGCATGACTGTCTTGAGCCAGGGGTGCTCGCTGAGCATGATAGTAACGTATCCGACCATAGGTACGTAGCCACGAACACTGCCGACAATATCATCGGTCCGGTGAAGATAATCCTGGCCTAACCTTGTCAGTAACCTTCAGAGATGGCCCCGAATCTTGTATCGCTTACCATCAGCATACAGCTCAGTATCGTCTGCCAAATTGTTATCACCCTAACGATCTGTTAGCAATTTCCTAGGCCATTCGAATTGTCGAGTCATTTACCTTGGTGAGAAGCATATGCGAGTTAGGCTTTGTGTCCCTAGAACTTCGTTAGCATAAGGAAGTAGCCACAAGAAAAATTGCCGGGCAATGATCGAGGACATACACTGTGATTTCTTTCACCTTCTTTGCACTCGCCCGTCCTTCTACCTCAGGGAAAGTGCGAACAACCCTGTGGACAATCGGAATAGACTTTCCCCGAACATTATAAACGAGAACTTCTCCGATCTCCGCCCTTGTGTTTCGGTTCCAGAGAAAGAGCAAGTCCCCACGCTGAAATGCGGGCTCCATTGATCCTGTGGAAAGGGAATGTGAGCTGTGTTCAGACCGCCATAAAAATAGCTTTATTTACCGGACAGAACCACAACTATTGGAGAACTTGATGCGGACACAACTGAAAGGCCTTTCCACAGCATGAAAGCCGTGGAAAGAACAAGCGCAAAGTTCAGCACTTGTGCAATTGATTGCCGAGCATTTGTGATGCTGGATGAGAGGGAGGATAGCATGGTGGGCGGTTCGCGGTCAACGGAGATGGGAGGGTTAGGGTAGGTCGCTCTAATAGTGACTGTTCTTAGTCAGAAACGGTAGGGAGTTTATTTCCTTTGTTTTCCTCATGGTAGATGAAGACGGTACCTATTGTGTTCAGCTAACTAAGCTGGTTGGGTCGTGTTTTGATAGAGCTAGAGGGTGCGGAGATGTGGCCTCGTCGGAGATCGCCTTGGCGCAGATCCACTGGCCTTCCGCCTTGCAGGTATGTATAACCATCGTGTAAATTGTACGGAGTACCACACCTGAGTTCATACAATGGATTTCAGCTGGTCCAGAAATAGTTAATATTGTACCGAAATGAAGCAATATTGTTAGTAAGAAATGGCTGCTTGCTATATCCGTTTCAGGCTCTATCTAGGCAACTCTGTAACTATATATAACTAATCATATTCGAGATATACATGTTTTTCGCGGTCTATATCCTTAATCTCTTGTCCACTCAAAGACAGTATTTGTTATGTTAAATCTAGGCAATGATATACAAATCCTAGGCTCTTGCAGATCATACAAGACCCTCCGGACATCCTCGGACATCATCGGTCAGTGCTTGTTTCATTGTCTGAGATATGGCCACAGCTCGTTTGATATTCCTTATAGAAAATAATACATAGCTTGACATCATAAGCAGATTCTTTTTGTCTATTTTTCTCTGATTTTTCCAAGAGTTTCACCTTTTGGGCTGCGCGAAAAGTCACTATGAAGAATGTTGAAGATAGGCATCCCTAGAAATCAAGTCACTAGACTATGTCTCATGGCTGAAATTGTGGTCATTCTCCGCATTATACAATGGCCAATTACATACATGGTAGTGATGTTTGAGGTATAGACTTGATTTCAAACATGTAGCCTGATCTACCTACCATGTCTTAGCTAACCTATCAGCAGATGGAAATCTGGTAGATTATAGGTAAAATTCCTGGAGATATTTTAGGTGATTGACGCGCGCGTATCTATCGCCGACTGATCTCTAAAGACCCCATTGTGCATATTGCAAGGGGTTTCATTCTTCGGGGCAAGGTTTGCATAAAAATGTCCGAGCAGAAGCATTTTCAAGATGATAAAAGCTCGAATCCCACTTTTAGATTAGCTTTCACACAGGACTGATGTACTGCAAACAAGGGTGACCAAGTCACACATTATTCATTATCATTTCTATGGTTTGCTTCAATATGCAGTCTATCTCCTCAGAATCGACTTTATCGACAGGCGAGCCCAAAGCTTCAGCCATTGAGCTCCTGCATGACCATTATCTTGAGCTTACCCCCGATGGGAAATATGTGCGATGGTTGCGAGATCACCCAAGGCATCCTCGAAATTGGTCTAGCCTACGAAAGACTTACGATATTGTCCTTATCTGTCTCTTGGATCTATTTATGTATGACCAGACTAAATCTCAATGTTATTTTGTCAATAAGCTAACAATACTACTAGAACAGCATCCAGTACCGCAGGTGTGAGTCCATAAAGCTATCTATGACCTACCTTATTGCCGAGCTAACCGTAATATTTTCTAGTCAGCAGCTGCCGCAGAAGCCAAACATGAATACCATATCAGCGAAACGCTTTCGATCTTTATATTTGTCACAATGTGAGATCAGTTGGTCTTAGTCTACTTTGCGTACCTGACATTAAGCAGATTTCTTCTCGGCCAGGTGGTAGGCACCATCTTATTTCCCCCGTGGTCGGAGACATTTGGGCGCAAAAACATGTATATTGTGAGCAGTGGTCTCAGCGCCATTTGCTGTATGATAATCGGACTCGTCCGTTCAATGCCGGTCATTATCATCATGCGCATCGTCGCCGGGCTTCTTTCCGCGATCCCTTATACCATCATCGGCGGCAGCATCGAGGACATGTTCAACTCGCATGCTCGAATATGGACCATGTACTATTGGACAATTGCTTCAAATATTGGGCTCATTCTTGGACCCATTATGAGCAGCTATATTATTGCAGGCCTTGATTGGTATGTAGCACTTAACCATGGTCTATGTCAATTTCTCACAACTCCCCAGGCGATGGAACTTCTATATCTTCGCCATCATTATTACTGCAATTACGGGTGGTCTCTGCTTTATTCGCGAATCACGACCTTCCTTGTTGCTGGCCTCCGAAGTGAAACGGGTCACCGATATGACTGTGCAACATATTCCACCGCCACTCAACCACGACCATATCCCGGATCTCAATACGTTTTTAAAAGAAGCCCTATTTCGTCCAGCCCAGCTGTTTTTCCAAGAGCCTATCATTTTCGTCATCGCAATGATGATCTCCATCGCCATGTCCCTCATCTACATCTTCACTGAAGCCCTCCAACCCATCTACGAGTCAATGGGATTTGCAAAAACCGACGCTTCACTGATATTCGTTGCTATCGGCCTGGGAACTTGCCTCAGCACATTGACCCGTGTGTTAGACAGCTACATTCTCAACTATTTCCGCAGGCAGGGACGCCCAATTAAGCCAGAATATAAGCTTGTCGGGCTAGGACTTGGTGGTCCATTCTTGGCGATTGGTCTATGGTGGTTCGCTTGGACTATTCCACCTGGGACCCAAACTCCATGGATTGTGCCCACACTTTCCCTCGCTCTGGTAGGCTATGCGCTGACGGAAATGGATACCGTGCTGTACGGCTATATCTCCGATGCTTATCTGAGTTACTCGGCCAGTGCTACCGCTGCTGTTGCATTCATGCGAGCGTTGCTGTCGGGTGTCTTTCCGCTGTTCACGACGCAGATGTTTAACCGGTTGGGGAATAATCTTGCTATGTCTGTGCTTGCCGCTGTGGCAACTGCATTTTGTATAGTACCGCCTGTGTTTATCTTTTATGGAGAGCGGATTCGTCGGGCGAGCAAGTTTGCTCGATATAGCTGGGAAATTCAGGAGGAGCTGGGTAAAGAAAAAGAAGATTGGTAAGCTTGGGCTTTAGTTACTATCTGCCGCTTACTCCTAAGAATACGACTTCAGCTCTAGCGACCAAAATACCCGCAGAAAGGCCTTTCGACAATGTCAACTGAATGATCTAGCCGCCTAAAACCGAATTTGCGGCCCCTCATTTGCCTAGTATATTCTAACTAGTAGTCAGAAAATACCTCGTCATAACTAAATGAAGTATGATAGGACTTCCTAAGAGCTCTCGGACATTTTGTGCTACCAATAATGTGATTGGTGAGATAAAAACAGACCCTAGGAGCTCAAGCACCGAGCGATCTTTCTTTCGGCAAAAGTTGATGTTAAGCAATGAAAAAAGTAGGACATAAGAGAGAAAACCGGGAAGAAATGAGAAAAACAGCAAGAGATACCTCCGCATAGCCCTGATTGATGTAGTCATTTTGCATGAGCCAGTCATAGGCAGACGAAGCGAGGAGTTTAAGAACAAACTTGTTGGCACATAGCTTCCAAGGACTGCACGCCGATGATAATATCCCCTTCGTGTTGATTTCGGGGTCTGCGGAAGATGCTTTCAAAGTTGAGCACCAAAGGTGTACCATGGATTTGCCCATATCGGTACGTAACTCTCTGTGTTGGTCGGAAAGAGGTATCCATGTGATTTCGGGTCTTATACGGATTTGGGGAAGGTCCTTCGGACCATACCTCCACGTCTACTCGCCATGTTGGCTTGCGAGTAGTGGCGATGATAACTCTTGGAGCGAGAGAGAAGTATGAAGAAGGTTAGATTCTCTACAACGATCGAGATCTAGCTAAATAGCTAGGTGAAGCCTGACAAACCAGACATCGGCATGTGATCGGCACGTGACCACCACAACAATAACGACGCACTTGGTGAGATGTTCAGAGTTGCTATACCACCAATGGGCGTCCTTGCATTGCTGGGAGTAGGATTCTGATACGCCGACTTCAAGGGCAAGGGTAGGTAATCCCGCCCCCCTTCCCCCCACCCATCCCATCAAAGATATCGGATGGAGAGAGCCACCAGTCAGGCTCCTTAGCCACAGACTTTCCTTGAGTTCTTGGCGATGGGCGGGATACGAACGCCCCATTGTCATAGGAAAGGCCCATTAAGAATAGCTGGATCAATTTGAGAGAAAACGCCAATGATTGAATTGTGTTTCTCAAGGGAACATTCTACAAAGCATTTGAGATACAGACTATAAGGACCAGACCAACAAAAGGTAAACATCATAATAACTTCTGAACATAAGTAAGGAGATATATCAACATAAAATGCACCTATGCCCCTTCAGCGGTCTTAATGGTGGTATCCTCTCTCCGAGTCAGACTCGATTCCCAATACTTCTCTTTCTTGCCTCGACTAACGATCAGTCCATAGATATCAAATGGATCGACAAAAGTCTGGAGCCAATGACGGGGATCATCATAGCCAGGGCCCTCAATCTCGGTGACGCCATCTTCAGCGAGATAAATCTTGTTTGATCGCGGAAGCCAGCGCATGGGATGAAAGACATTCAGCAAAGTGGTATTGCTATACATGAGCACAACCTCAAAGATCCAAAAGTACCATTCCTGTTTCAATACAGGACTGATATTCTCGAGGTCAGTGTAGGCATTCAGACTCGCGGCAGTAAAGTATTCCACTGTGCGATAGATGGTACGAATCGTGATGAGGGTACAACTGCAGTATAACACCAGTAGCGCATGCTTGATCTTGTGGTTCAATACGCCTCCTCGGGCGCAGTTGAAGTGGAATCGGCCCGCCAAGGCCACAAAGCCTGTCATTAGGACGATTTGCATGATAAGCGCCGCCTTCAGTAGCGCCTTGCCTATGTTTTGCGAGCTAACACTAGAGTTTGAACTTGCGACTCGGGCCGCTCCGTTTGCGGTAATGCTCTCGATGGCCACACCTAGGGCTATGAAGGTTGTGAATACGCGGCCCGGATGGATTGGGGAGTGGTATGGGATGTAGTAGAGTATGCGGCCCAAAATGAAGAAGTTAGCACCCTCATATACTGGTCTAGAATAATCGAAGATTGGTTGTCAGTAGCGTATCCCATTATGGGCTGGATACTCCTTACGGTCCGGCGAGCAGAAGCACAGTGCTTGCTATATAGACGCCTATATTTCCCCATTGCCCGAACGCTCCAATAGTCCGCGTGATAAAACCTCCCGTAAACAGAAGGGCAGACCATGGAAGAAGTCCGGTGACTTTCCAGGACTTATATTTGCTGGGGGATCTGGTTAATTTGGAGTTTCATAATGGGTAGGGGTCACATACAAGGATTGATATGCATGGATGCCGCCAGAGATAGCGAAGAGAATCGCAAAGGCAATTGCAGCGCCTTTGTTAGGTGCATAGAACCACAAGCTTCCCTCCTCTTTTTTTGTCAGATAAACTATCAATCGTGATTGACTTGGGCGACTCACGATAAGATGACCTTGGTTCGAGCATAGTTGTTGTAGATCTATATATTGCTTGGTGCGAACGATCGATTTGCGTAAAAACACCGCACTGTGTAGTTGATGTAATTGATGGTAAGTTGGAGAATATGAGTATGCTCAGACTAATTCACCACACTATGTAGGTAGGGGACGTTAGACACATATATATACAACAACTGTATGGGCACTGTTCACTTTAGGTAAGTTCGTATTCCTTCAAAAGCCTCATGAACTTTATTTTGGCTACATGGCTCCTCAAATTTCCTGAATTTACGAATAATACGGAGTAGTCACAGCTAATCTATGCTTGGGCCTAAAATGACTTCGTATTTGCCTCTGCGCTATGCTCCTAATACGAGGCTCACTGCCACAGATCTTCGACTTATGATTCGCCAACTTTATCACGCTAATCCAACCTAAGTAATCTCGTTTTCGCTTGCTTGCAGTGCATGGGATAGGCCTTCAGCGTCATCAATTTAGTTCAGCTCCTAACATATACATAGTATTCCGTAGAGAGGTTGATAAAAATGGGCATGTAAAAATGGGCATGTAAAAATGGAATAGCTTTGAAGCAAGAGGGCCGGGAAGATGTCCTGTCGTGGAATCATATGGCTACCGCAGTCTATCACCACCAGTACTCCACTAGGTTTACCTGTACATTTTGTAATATGATTAAACGCTGAAACTGTACTGATATGCGTGACGAGAGGCCACTGTTGTCCGATTCATTCTTTCCCGCATACATAGTTGCACGTGATCTTGCTGTTGTCGGGGTGACTGATAGCCCAAAGCGGTAAGCGCGATGTTGATCTGTGGATGTTCTGGACTTTCCAGTTTGATCGCGCGACCCGCACACCTTCGAAGGTCAACGTCACCTGCGTGTTGTCTAGATACTCACGAGCCGCCCAAAATGCCGCCAAAACAGCCCCAGACATCGCTGTTCCAAGTTTACCTTCGGTTACGCCCCCCGATGACCCCAAACCCCAATGAATGTGACCGCTTTTTGAACGTTGAGGCGCCAGAGGCTTCGCAGGAGGAAACAGAGATCGTCTCGCCTGCATCAACACATGTTACTCTTCAACCACCAAATGACACGAGAAAGCGCGCCGTCGAGAGGTTTGGTTTCACAAAGGTCTTCGAGGAGACCGCCTCGCAACTGGATGTCTTCCATGACACTGGGATGGAGCCCATCATACGTGGAGTACTGAAGGAGAACCGAGATGGCCTAGTGGCTACCCTGGGAGTCACAGGCAGTGGAAAGGTCTAGTCCCGTGTATTGTAATATCGCGATAACCAAGCTAACGGGTTGATCATACACAGAGCCACACCATTTTAGGATCCAAGACCCAACGGGGAATGACCCAAATGGCACTTGACGTTATCTTCCGCTCTTTAGAGTCGACAAATAAGACCGATCATGGTAGCATTACCCCCGTGATGCTTGCCTCGCTGGCTGTCGCGGACGCTTCTGAAGCCCAATTGTTCTCCGCCCAAACATTTCTGGAAGCTGTATATGGCGAACCAAACGGACGTACATCGAGAGCGCAAACACCGATGAGCCCATCTCGCGCCAATACCCCTTTGACGGTACGAAACCCCTTTACGCTGAACTCCCCCCAAGGATCCCCAACCCCACGACCAAGCACCCCTGGATCGTTTCTCCCAAGACCGAGATCTAAATCTGGAAGCCCCCACAAGATGGATTTGTCTCATATTACCAGTCCCCATGACGCTGCTGGATCTGGCCTTGGCCAGATCTCAACTGAGCCCTCTGGATGGATCACCCCAGGATTTTCTAATCCTATCCCCTACACCCACTGCAATCTATTTGAGCCCAAATCAGCTAAATCTCGACTTTATGTCTTCAAGGAACCCACGCCTGCCTTGAACTTTCCTCGCCGTCACATACGTGAACGACCATGCGCCCTTCCTAGGCTGCCCGATATGAGCCACCTAACTGTAGATATGGACTCAAATGCCGACTATGTCGTTTTGGTGTCAATGTACGAAGTATACAATGACCGGATCTTTGATCTTCTGTCTCCATCAATTGCCTCGGGTCAGGGTAACATGTCCCGCGGAAATAACCAAAAGGATCGGCGACGTCCCTTGCTCTTCAAGTCTACCGAGGGCTCACCAGATCGGAAACTGGTTGCCGGGCTACGCAAAATTGCTTGCAGCAGCTATGAGGAAGCACTGGCCATTTTGGATGTTGGTTTAACTGAACGCAAGGTAACTGGCACTGGAATGAATAGCGTTAGCTCTCGAAGCCATGGCTTCTTTTCCCTGGAAGTCAAGAAACGGACATACTCAAAGCGAACTGGTGAACAAAACTGGGCTGGAAACGCCCTCACGGTTGTGGATCTCGCTGGTAAGTAGATTACATTCTTACTGTAAGTCTGTAACTAATCAATCTAGGCTCCGAGCGTGCGAGAACAGCAAAGACAGCTGGTGCCACACTTGCTGAGGCCGGCAAGATTAACGAAAGTTTGATGTACCTCGGCCAATGCCTGCAGATGCAAAGCAACATACAGGATGGAATGAAGGTATGTTTGGAA